ATTCTTGCTGCTTTTGGCCCCATGGGATAAGGTCCTTAGGGAGCTGGGGATGTTTAGCCTGGACAAGAGACGGTTAAGAGGTGATATTATAGCCTTGTTTAAGTATTTGAAGGGATGTCATATTGAGGAGGGAGCAAGCTTGTTTTCTGCTACTCCAGAGAACAGGACCTGGAACAACGGATGCAAGCTACAAGAAAAGAGATTCCACCCAAACATTAGGAGAAACTTCCTGACAGTAAGGGCTGTTTGACAGTGGAACACACTCCTCCGGAGAGTGATGGAGTCTCTCTCTTTGGAGTCTTTAAACAGAAGCTAGATGGGCATCTGTTTGGTATGCTTTGATTGAGAGTTTCTGCATGGCAGGGAGGTGGACTGGATGGCCCTTGTGTTTTCTTCCAACTCTATGATTCTATGATTCTATGAGAATGTGCTTCATAGATTCTTTGTTGTTGTGTGCTTTCAAGTCATTTTTGCCTTTGGCGGCCCTAAAGCAAATCTATCATAGGATTTTCTTGGCAAGTTTCTTCAGAGGGGAGTGGCCATTGCCATCCTCTGAAGCTGAGACAGTGTGATCTGCCCAAGGTCACCCAGTGGCTTTTTCTCCTCTGCGGTGAATCGAACCTTTATCTCCAGAGTCAAGTTCAACTCTCAAACCACTAAATGACACTGGTTCTAGTGCCTTCAAATTGTTTCTGATTTATAGCTAGCCTTAGATGAAGCTATCATGGGGTTTTCCTGGCAAGTTTGGTTCAGGGGAGGTTTGCCATTACTTTCCTCTGAGGCTGAGAGTGTGTGACTTGCCTAAGGTCACCCAGGGGGTTTCATGGCCAAGTGGGGAATTGAACCCTGGTCTTCAGAGTCACAGTGTAACACTCAAACCACTAGCACACACTAGTCATACAAGGATTCTTCTTCCAGGTTATTATAGAGGCACAGTGTTGCAGTGATTATGACAATGAAAATAATTCATGCAAGATGTAAAAAAAATTGTTTTACATTATTGTCAAAATTAAAGAAGTGATCACAAAACTAGTTAATGTTTTGAATTGTCTGGATGTCCTGTCATCTCCACCCAGCTGTCAGTAGTTGTATGATGTTCTTGCTGTATTTCCAAAAACTGTTGCATTCCATTTTTAAGGGGTTTTCCTATCAGCTTTGCAGTCATGAGATGAGATGTATTTTCAAGGAGGAGGACATTTTTTCTTTATCTAAAGTTGTATTGTTCATTAAACTGAATGCCCTTTCTGCTTCCATGGAACTCACAGCCACCACTTTCATGGTTTTTCTTGCTTAGTCTGATGGTTTAAGGAACTCCTGCCTTAGAAATCTCGTGTTCACCCACAAAATCTCAAAAGTCATTTAGGGATATCTTGCATTTCAACACTTTATGTAGTTCATGTAATTCTTCTTCTCCATCCTGCCAGGGAGAGAGAATTGTCTTTGGCCACGTTGTGGCTTCTAGTAGGTTGAACTATGATAGCAGAGTTGTATTCATTATTTAACAGCCTGCTATTCATGTTGTCAATGACACTTGGGATTAATTGTTTTCTTGGCACAGTATTTCCATGTGTTTCTTATTAGAAACAAATGGGATTATTTAGTGAGTTTCTGATTTTTCAACACTGGGCACAAGCTTCTCCTATTTTCCCTATCTTTTATTCGCTGCAGTGTTCTTGTGGCAGTGTGCTTGTGATTTAAGTCATTTCTGACTTGTGCTGATCCTAAGGCATAACAGGGTTGTCTTGGCAAGTTTCTTCAGAGGAGGTTTGCCATTGTCATCCTCTGAGGCTGAGAGAGTGACTTGCCCAAGGTCACCCAGTGGGTTTTCATGGCCAAGTGGAATTCGAACCTCTCTCCAGAGTGGTAGTTTCTAAAATAGAAGGCCCAGCTTCTTCAGATTAAGAAGACTTCCCAGCCTTTTATTGGTCTCCCGGTGTGGAGTTCCTTATAGGCTTTTTTAAAAAGACGACAAGATGTTTCTGGTATTTTCTTGACTAGAATGTCTAAGATTTTGCAACGGGATCTTGCAGCACTTTTGAAACGAACTGAAAGAAAGAAGTTGGTAGCATGAGATTTTGTAGACTTATGCCTATTTCCTAAGATTTTGCAGATTGCTTCTGGTTGTTCTAAACTGGAAAAAACGAGAGTAAGGCTATCATGCTGTACACATAGTCAAAGAAGGGAGCCTCAATGGTTTTTGATTCCAGCCACTCTTTGGTGGGGTTGCAGACTGCCAGAAATATTGCAAACTGAGTCCACTTTAAGGGTTAGGGTTAGGGTTAGGGAATCATGGGAACATATTTTATTGTGGCACCAGAGCTCTCTGACAGAGAAGGTTCAATGTCTCAGAAAAAAATTCCCATGATTCCCTAGCACTAACCCTAACCCTAAAAGTGGACTAATTTGCACTATTTCTGTTAGTCTGCAATCCCCCTTAGTGAGTCTTCAAAAAGGGGAAAAAAGAGGATCCCAACAACTATTGCCCAATTAGTCTGACATTAATACTGGGAAAGATAGTTGTTTGAATCCTCATTAAATAGAGAGTCTGTGAACATTTAGAAGGGAATGCCATAATCA